CTCCTGTGTGTGGCTCGTCCAAACGCTTCAATCAATGCTGACGTGTGTGTGTGTGTGTGCGTGTGTGTGTGTGTGTGTGTGTGTGTGAGTGTGTGTGTGTGTGTGAGTGTGTGTGTGTGTGTGAGTGTGTGTGTGTGTGTGAGTGTGTGTGCGTGTGTGTGTGTGTGTCTTCTCAATAGAAACACATGGAGGCTGCTTTCCTTGTCAAACCTATGTACCTGTGTGCACTGCTCCTATGTAGAGTAGAGCAGGGTAGGGTAGGGTAGGGTAGGGTAAGGTAGGGTAGGGTAGGGTAGAGTAGGGTAGGGTAGAGTAGGGTGGGGTAGGGTAGGGTAAGGTAGAGTAGGGTGGGGTAGGGTAGAGTAGAGTAGGGTAGGGTAGGGTAGGGTAGGGTAGGGTAGAGTAGAGTAGGGTAGGGTAGGGTAGAGCAGGGTAGAGTAGAGTAGGGTAGAGTAGAGTAGGGTAGGGTGGGGTAGGTTAGAGCAGGGTAGGGTAGGGTGGTGTAGGGTAGAGTAGAGTAGGGTAGGGTAGGGTAGAGTAGAGCAGGGTAGGGTAGGGTGGGATAGGGTAGAGTAGTGTAGGGTAGAGTAGAGCAGGGTAGAGTAGAGTAGGGTAGGGTGGGGTAGGTTAGAGCAGGGTAGGGTAGGGAAGGGTAGAGTAGGGTAGGGAAGGGAAGGGTAGAGCAGGGTAGGGTAGGGTAGTGTAGAGTAGAGTGACTCCATCTTGGTCATGTATAAACGTGACTGTATCCGTCAAACTAAAAACACTGATTTCTGTGTAAAGTAAAGTATGTTTTTAGCTCAGACTCAGACTGTAAAAAGGGTGTTCAGACGTGATCCACAAACAGTCACTTCCACTTCATCACACACAACGTTTAAACGCCAAAACGACATTTAAATCTTAAAATATCCTTTCATACGTCTCTCTGAACTCTGCCGCGGGGAAATGGGTCAATGCAGACGGAGAAAGCAGGAGGCGTCGCCGCGGGCAACGCAAACAAAAGCAATTAGGGATTTTTTTCTCTCTTTCTTGAAAACCATTTTAGAATTTGGGAGGAAACAGCAAGAAAGCAGCCGTTTCTGTGATCGCTGAAGGTGTCCTCACAATGGGACGAGGCGGCTGCACACGTGAAGAGTCCGCAGGAGGTCTGTGTGACATCAGCGAGACGCAAAGGAAGCAAGAAAAGAAAACCACACAAACCTGAACGAGAGGCCGGAGAGTAGAGTCCGGTCTGGTCCTGAGGGAGTAGAACCACTGCACAAGACCAGGAGAACCGGAGCGGGCCAGAACACATGACTACTGCTAAAGTCTGGGCCGTCCATGGTGCGAACATGAGACAATGAGCCCAAGCCATTGAACTGAATGGGCGGACATCTTGGAGAGACCTAGGGCGGACATCTTGGAGAGACCTGGGGCGGACATCTTGGAGAGACCTGGGACGGACATCTTGGAGAGACCTAGGGCAGACATCTTGGAGAGACCTAGGGCGGACATCTTGGAGAGACCTGGGGCGGACATCTTGGAGAGACCTAGGGCGGACATCTTGGAGAGACCTAGGGCAGACATCTTGGAGAGACCTAGGGCGGACATCTCCGAGAGACCTGGGGCGGACATCTTGGAGAGACCTAGGGCAGACATCTTGGAGAGACCTAGGGCAGACATCTTGGAGAGACCTAGGGCGGACATCTTGGAGAGACCTGGGGCGGACATCTTGGAGAGACCTAGGGCAGACATCTTGGAGACCTGGGGCGGACATCTTGGAGAGACCTAGGGCAGACATCTTGGAGAGACCTAGGGCGGACATCTTGGAGAGACCTGGGGCAGACATATTGGAGAGACCAGAGGGAGACCCCTTGGAGAGACCAGGGGCAGACATCTTGGAGTGACCAGAGCCAGACATTTTGGAGAGACCAGAGCCAGACAGTTTGGCAACCCTGAGCCGAGCTTTATCCATAAACTTTCTACTTAAGAAATTATTTCCAATACACAACATCAGAGCCTTCTCTTGCTCTACTGACTCACATGGTTCATGTGTTGTGTTGTCCCTCCCTGTGCCTTGTTTGTAAATGATTAGTGATTGGCTCTGACAGTGAGGTTTAAGGGATAACGTGTCCCAACTGTGCGGCGCGTGCGGTCCCATCGACCACAAACAACCTGCATTTACACCACATACAGTAAATCTATTTGTTTTATCCTTTTCTTCGCAGCTCTGGCTGAAGGTCCAACAAGCTCATTTAATTTCATGGCTGTGCGGACAGTTGTAACAATATCAATATTTATGTTTTTTTGTTGTTTATATGATTTTGCTAAAACAAAACACATTGTGCAGCTAATGCTAAAGGACCAGTTTATCCCAAATTGGCGAGGAGAAGGCCAGAGCATGTCATTGTGTGATATCTATGAGGAATAATACAAGGAAAAATATTTGTTGTGTGAGGGCAAAACCAACAATTTATTCTTGTATTTCCCCAAATCACAACAGCATCATCTCAGAGACTTAACAAAACGATTGAAATCACCAACACAGGTCAGAGAATCAACAGTTAAAACACATGAAGAATATAGAGCACATGTTGATCAATGTCATACATGTTGTAGAATGTTAAAGTGTCCTGGATCATCACAGTCCTTCTTGTTGGACACTAACTGTCCAACAGACTCTCCTCAAAGGAATCAGAGGAAAGACTCATAAGAAAACCCAGTGGGAAAAAGTGAGAAACCTCGGGGAGACCCATGGTTTGAGAAAGGGATCCGCTCCCATGGACGGACAGGCTCTAGATCTAGGACCTAAGCTAGCTACAGAACGTGGACCAGTGGCCGCTGAACGTGGACAGGTCCGGTGCAGGACTGAAGCACTCCCAGGCGGGTCGGGCGGGGCAGTCCGCAGGTGTAGATGGAGGAGGCCAGGCTCAGAGATCCCGTCATCGTACCATGGAACAGACAATGGGACAACGGGTGAATAGCAATGAACAGACTACAGTCAAAACCATAATAATGCAGACAGATAAAGTAGGAAGGAGGAGAGGATAGTTCTCAAGTTACCATACTTCTCCAGCAGGGGGCTCCCTATGCAGCTTGACTGACAGGCAGTGTATTGTTCACGTATGAACCGTAAAAAGTAATGTACCCAATATGACTGGACGATACAAAGGCATGGACAGACTTTTACGATCTTACAACCTTTGCACAGGTGTGATGTTGTTGCTGAGTTTCTGAGTGCTTGAAAAACACAGAGACCCTCAGTCCTATGTTTAAAAACCATCACTCAGTCCCGAAAAAGGTCCTTTCTTTGTTAAAATCAAGTATTTCTGGTTATGGTCATTGGCAATAAATATGAAATAGTAACAGTAACACACTAATATAATACATGATTATTGGCGGCCTTTCGGATCGTGAAACAGGCAATAATGTGATAAAACAGTTTTAAATCACTGCTGAGGAAAACGATTTATTTAAACATTTTACCCAGACCGAAGTTGCCGAGGGTTACGGCAGGAGGAGTGGCCGCCGTAGACCACAGACACGGGGAGAACATGCAAACTCCACTCAGAAACACCCTGTTCCGACCAGGATTCTGATTCTAGTGTTTCGACTGAACATGGCGCCGCAAAAGACTCGAGTCAAACTGACACAGCAGCTCGGGGCATCAGGGTTAATGGAAAGAGCGACTCAGTGTTTTTGTAAATTCCAATTTCTCCGTTCCAAGAGTTCCAGGTCGCCTTGAACTCACTAAAAGCAGAAGCAAAGTCTAATGCACGTCCGAGAGACCATTACTGTCCCGCTTTCAAGACAAAACATCCATTTCCTGTACTTTCTTACATCATCAAAACTTTAGAAGACGATCGCGGTGACCTCACTTTTGTTTCATAAATGTTTTTGGGCAAATCAGACCAGAACACGCTGCGTTTATAAGTCACTGTTTGACTCTTTGGGCTGAGAGCTGAGGTTGTGGGTTGAATGCCCTCGGTCCCCAGGCTTATATTCAAAGATGAGTTGGAAATAATATGTTTTTATTTGTGTCCATGAACCAAATCCAGAGTGAGGTGTGGGGTCAGAGAGGGTTTTGGCCCTTTGTGTGTGTGTGTGTGTGTGTGTGTGTGTGTGTGTGTGTGTGTGTGTGTGTGTGTGTGTGTGTGTGTGTGTGTGTGTGTGTGTGTGGGTGTGGGTGTGTGTGTGTGTGTGTGTGTGTGTATGGGTGTGTGTGTGTGTGTGTGGGTGGGTGTGGGTGTGTGTGTGTGTGTGTGTATGGGTGTGTGGGTGTGTGTGTGTGTGTGTGTGGGTGTGTGTGTGGGTGGGTGTATGTGGGTGTGTGTGTGTGTATGGGTGTGTGGGTGTGTGTGTGTGTGTATGTGTGTGTGTGTGTGTGTGTGTGTGTGTGTGTGTGTGTGTGTGTGTGTGTGTGTGTGTGTGTGGGTGTGTGTGTGTGTGTGTGTATGTGGGTGTGGGTGTGGGTGTGTGTGTATGTGTGTGTGTGTGTGTGTGTGTGTGTGTGTGGGTGTGTGTGTGGGTGGGTGTGTGTGTGTGTATGTGTGTGTGTGTGTGGGTGTGTGTGTGGGTGTGTGTGTGGGTGGGTGTGTGTGGGTGTGTGTGTATGTGTGTGTGTAGGTGGATGTGGGTGTGGGTGTGTGACTGTGTGTGTGTGTGTGTGTGTGTGTGTGTGTGTGTGTGTGTGTGTGTTGGTTTATGGACACATACCAACCTCCAACCACCACAACCATTCACACACACCTCTTAACAGCCGCACCCGCCCCACCTGCTGTTCTCAGAGGTCTCCCATCACAGTATTAACCAGGCCCTACTGCTTAGCTCCGGGGGTCTGACATGATCTGGCTCGCACCTGCAGGTACGGCCACAACGGAGCTCCTGATGTGAGCATGGATGGAGCTAAACACAACCCCGGGTCTGCCGTGGATGAGTATCAGTGCAGCCTCTTCTCTCTCACGCTGCTTAAACGTCTAAGTGAACAATGTCATAACTGGAGGAAGTCAAGTGGACAGAAGATGACACAAGTCAACTGGTCCCAAGTGGGGGACACCTGGTCCGGAGACACCTGGTCCGGAGCCAGGGCCCGGTGGAGCAGAAAAACACTGGGCTTTTTGTTCTGCTCCAGGGGGCCCCTTCACACCTGCAGGGGCCGCGGTGTAATGAAGGAGAAAGCGGCACATCTGGAGGAGAGAGAAGTGTGAGGAGGAAGTCGACTGTGCAATATGTTTATGGAGAAGTCATAGATGCGCTGACATTAAAGCTCGGGGTCCTGACTTTCAGACGGGAAGAAAAAAAGAATCAACAAATGGAAGCATGTCATGAAATCTGTTTAGTTTGTCCAAAAGAGTTGGTCCTGGCCTCTGTTTCTCTGAGAGAGAGAGAGAGAGAGAGAGAGAGAGAGAGAGAGAGAGAGAGAGAGAGAGAGAGAGAGAGAGAGAGAGAGAGAGAGAGAGAGAGAGAGAGAGAGACAGAGAGAGAGAGAGACAGAGAGATCAGAACGACCAGAGAGATTGGACAGATAGATTAGAGTGAGAGAGAGACAAAAGACCTACAAGAGAGACTAGAGAGACTAGAGAGAGAGATAGACCAGAGAGACCACATAGACCAGAGAGACCAGAAAGAGAGACCATCATGTTACCCACACATATGCTCCTGTTACAGACAAATGCCCATATAAGGACACTTTCTCCAGCTATCTTATGCTCAAACTGGCTTCTTCCCCACTAAGGCTAACCCTAACACACCGTGAGGTAATCTTCTTCTATTGTATCGGGGTCAAAACAAATAATAAAAACCTGGAACGAACGATTTTTGCTGCACAAACTTGTTGCAGCTTCAGACATCTCTGCAGCATTAGCAAACGGAACAAAAGGCAGGACTTCTACCTCACCCCCCCCCCCCCCCCCCCCCCCCCACCAGGGCAAATCCAGCCCAAACATAATGTGAGATTATACACGCACCACTTTGAGAGCTTCAGAAATAAAAGATAAGATTATGGCGCAGGAGATTTGTGCGCAGAGAAAGTGAGGGATAATAAAGAAGACATAAGGACAGAGGTTTAGTGTCTTAATACAGTTAGAGCTGTCCCAGGAGGGGCGCCAGATTACAACTGGTCATTTCATCAGAAAGGGGCTAGCGGTCAGGGCTGAGGGATTAGGATGAGGGAGGGAGGGGGGGGGGGGGCTGGAGCACACAAGGAAAAGCCAGGAAATGACTTTTTTCAAATTTGCTTTTTATGAAATTGAACTAAATCTTCGCAATCAGGAATTACGAAGGAGTTTATCGGTCGGAGTTTCATCCCCAAACTCATCTGGAAAAAACATATTTTAGGACGATAAGATCCGAGCAGGGATTTGGAGAAGGACAATGGGACAAAGGCGAGGTCGGGACGACAGCTTGACTTTAAGAATGTAATACGTAAGTGCTCCGTAGAGACCAGAGAGGGACCAGAGAGGGACCAGAGAGACCAGAGAGAGACCAGAGAGAGAGACCAGAGAGAGACCAGAGAGGGACCAGAGAGAGACCAGAGAGGGACCAGAGACCAGAGAGACCTGAGAGACCAGAGAGAGACCAGAGAGGGACCAGAGAGAGAGACCAGCGAGACCAGAGAGGGACCAGAGAGAGAGACCAGAGAGACCAGAGAGAGACCAGAGAGAGAGACCAGAGAGGGACCAGAGAGAGACCAGAGAGAGAGACCAGAGAGAGACCAGAGAGAGACCAGAGAGAGACCAGAGAGAGACCAAAGAGAGACCAGAGAGAGACCAGAGAGAGACCAGAGAAAGACCAAAGAGAGACCAGAGAGAGACCAGAGAGAGACCAGAGAGAGACCAAAGAGAGACCAGAGAGAGACCAGAGAGAGAGACCAGAGAGGGACCAGAGAGAGACCAGAGAGAGACCAGAGAGAGACCAGAGAGGGACCAGAGAGAGACCAAAGAGGGACCAGAGAGAGACCAGAGAGAGAGACCAGAGAGGGACCAGAGAGAGACCAGAGAGAGAGACCAGAGAGAGACCAGAGAGAGACCAGAGAGAGACCAAAGAGAGACCAGAGAGAGACCAAAGAGAGACCAGAGAGAGACCAGAGAGAGACCAGAGAGAGACCAGAGAGAGACCAGAGAGAGACCAAAGAGAGACCAGAGAGAGACCAGAGAGAGAGACCAGAGAGGGACCAGAGAGAGACCAGAGAGAGACCAGAGAGAGACCAGAGAGGGACCAGAGAGAGACCAAAGAGAGACCAGAGAGAGACCATAGAGAGACCAGAGAGGGACCAGAGAGAGACCAAAGAGAGACCAGAGAGGGACCAGAGAGAGACCAAAGAGAGACCAGAGAGGGACCAGAGAGAGAGACCAGAGAGGGACCAGAGAGAGACCAGAGAGAGACCAGAGAGAGACCAGAGAGGGACCAGAGAGAGACCAAAGAGAGACCAGAGAGGGACCAGAGAGAGACCAAAGAGAGACCAGAGAGGGACCAGAGGGAGACCAGAGAGAGACTAGAGAGAGAGACCAGAGAGAGACCAGAGGGAGACCAGAGAGAGACTAGAGAGAGAGACCAGAGAGAGACCAGAGAGAGACCAGAGAGAGACCAGAGGGAGACCAGAGAGAGACTAGAGAGAGAGACCAGAGAGAGAGACCAGAGGGAGACCAGAGAGAGACTAGAGAGAGAGACCAGAGAGGGATCAGAGAGAGACCAGAGAGACCAGAGAAAGAGATCAAAGGGAGACCAGAGTGAGATCTCCTCCCTCCTCGTCTCCTTCCTCCCTGGCTCCTCCCTCCTCATCTTCTACTTCCTCATCTCCTACTTCCTCATCTCCTACTTCCTCATCTCCTCCCTCCTCATCTCCTCCCTCCTCATCTCCTCCCTCCTCATCTCCTCCATCCTCATTTCCTCCTTCCTCATCTCCTACCTCCTCGTCTCCTCCCTCCTCATCTCCTACTTCCTCATCACCTACTTCCTCATCTCCTCCCTCCTCATCTCCTACCTCCTCATCTCCTCCATCCTCATTTCCTCCTTCCTCATCTCCTCCCTCCTCATGTCCTCCATCCTCGTCTCCTCCCTCCTCATCTCCTCCATCCTCATTTCCTCCTTCCTCATCTCCTCCCTCCTCATCTCCTACCTCCTCATCTCCTCCATCCTCATTTCCTCCTTCCTCATCTCCTCCCTCCTCATGTCCTCCATCCTCGTCTCCTCCCTCCTCATCTCCTACTTCCTCATCACCTACTTCCTCATCTCCCTCCTCATCTCCTCCCTCCTCATCTCCTCCATCCTCATCTCCTCTCGTAATCTCCTACTTCTTCGTCTATCTCCTCCCTCCTCGCCTCCTTCTGTCTCCTGCCTTGGCTCCTTGGCCCCTTGTTTTTCCACTGCTCCCTCCTCGCCTCCTTCCCTGTGGTCGGTGGATGTGTCTCGCCTCCTGCTCAGGCCCAGGTCAGCGGGACGGACATGGGCAAGGCCTCCAGCGGCATATGGACTCACTTCCTTCCAAGAAAAACTGAAGCTGAGAAAGGCACGCACACACACACACACACAGAGAGAGACACACACACACACACACACAGAGACACACACACACACACACACACACAGAGACACACACACACACACACACAGAGACACACACACACAGTGACACGCACACACACACACACACACACGCACATGAACACGCACACTCACACACACGCACATGAACACACACACGCACACACACACACAGAGAGACACACACACACACACACACAGAGACACACACACACAGTGACACGCACACACACACACACATGCACATGAACACGCACACACACGCACACGCACACAGGGGCAGGCATTTGGAATGAATCTATGACATCACCAAATGGTATCGCTCAGAATCCTTTGGGTTTGAATGGGAGCAGTCAAAATACAGTCAACATACATACATATGATTCCTCAACACACATTCTGACTGCTTTATAGTCCAAAAGTCTGTGCCCCGGGGGTCAGAGAGAGACCAGAGAGAGGCCAGAGAGAGGCCAGAGAGAGACCAGAGAGAGAGACCAGAGAGAGACCATAGAGAGGCCAGAGAGAGGCCAGAGAGAGACCAGAGAGAGACCAGAGAGAGACCAGAGAGAGACCAGAGAGAGACCAGAGAGAGAGACCAGAGAGAGAGACCAGAGAGAGACCAGAGTGAGATCAGAGAGAGAGACCAGAGAGAGACCAGACAGAGACCAGAGAGGGACCAGAGAGAGAGACCAGAGAGAGACCAGAGAGAGACCAGACAGAGACCAGAGAGGGACCAGAGAGAGACCAGAGAGAGACTTTGGATCCAAGACGACTTAGCGGGTTCCTCCTACACTCCTCCAGGCCTCCCCGATTCCTTTACGCCTTGCAAATCTGGCAACCCACGGCGACAGGAGAGAGCTGCGGATGTCGAGGAGACTGATGGGGGCCAAGTCTCACATATGTTAGCTCCTCTTTGATTACACTGGTGCATATGCTCCCGCTGCTCCCCGCTGACCGCCGCGGCGATTACTTACGGCCGCTACTCCGCTGCTTCCGCTCCAAGATTACAGCCTCGGACACTTTTAAGACGGAGAGGATTTAGCGCGGCGCGATGATTGTGTCTGCCAGCTCCTTCGGCTCGGGTTCTTGGCAGGATTACAGATTGATGTGTGCGTCTTAACTCCGAGATTAGGCCGACAGCGCTGGATTGAGCCCCGAGGTCGCACACAAGATCAGACGCAGATCAGAGAGAGGGGAGCTAGCGATACCAGATCTGCATCGGCTGATCCTAGCGAAGACCGAGGCCGGGGAAGATTGGACGTTTTTCTCTGTTTGATGTGAGGGAGAGCTGCTAAGTGAGGGTTTGGGAAATGCAAGGAGAAGAAGAGAATAAGCAAGTGCAGGGAAGGAAAATATCATGTGAGCAAGGTCTTTCCCAAAGCGCCATCGCTGCTGAGGCCCCCACCTGAGACCTGGGACCTGAGAACTGAGACCTGAGAACTGAAACTAGGTCTCAGAGAGAAGTTTAAAACCAGGTCCCAAAGCACTGCAAAAAAAGGTGAAAAATATGTCAAAAAAATGGGAAAGATGTATCCTAATTTGTATGTACAGTCTCAGTCCTGGGTCAACATCCTCAGTCCTGGGTCTACAGCCTCAGTCCTGGGTCTACAGCCTCAGTCCTGGGTCTACATCCTCAGTCCTGGGTCTACAGCCTCAGTCCTGGGTCAACATCCTCAGTCCTGGGTCTACAGCCTCAGTCCTGGGTCTACAGTCTCAGTCCTGGGTCTACAGCCTCAGTCCTGGGTCTACAGCCTCAGTCCTGGGTCTACAGCCTCAGTCCTGGGTCAACATCCTCAGTCCTGGGTCTACAGCCTCAGTCCTGGGTCTACAGTCTCAGTCCTGGGTCTACAGTCTCAGTCCTGGGTCTACATCCTCAGTCCTGGGTCTACAGCCTCAGTCCTGGGTCTACAGCCTCAGTCCTGGGTCTACAGTCTCAGTCCTGGGTCTACAGCCTTAGTCCTGGGTCTACAGTCTCCCATTTTGTCTCGTTTCTCCTTCTTGTGGAAATGTCGCTGTCCATGGTGCTGACCTGACTCTGCTCCCCGGAGACGGCACTTGCTTTTGAGCTGCTTTAGAGTCACTGTGTGGGAACGAACAGGCAGAATTTGGTCTCTTTCATGAAACACTTAAGAAAAGTTGGATCCACACACATCCACTGCATAAGAGTAGAGTAGAGTTCTTTAAATCTGAGTTTTATAACAAATATATTGTTGTTATGGGGCGACAGTAGCTCAGTTGGTAGAGCATTGGCCTTCAGGCCTGAAGGTTGTGGGTTCAATTCCCGCCTCTACACCTTCTCCACCGACTCCCACTGATAGCTGCTGTCGTTGTGTCCTTGGGCAAGACACTTAACCCCACTTTGCCCAAAGCCCCCACTGAAAGATCAAGGCTATGCTCACACTCAGAGAGCAGCCGTCCTCCTGTGGACTCACCACCTGCAGAGGGTCAGTGAGGGGCTGGTGCTATGAGACTTGGGTGGCATCTCTGACTGCCACCCCCCTGACCCAGAAATGGATTAAAGGGTAGAAAATGGATGGATGGATGGATATTGTTGTTATGATATGTATAAGACATGAACCAAATAGATATAAAAAAGGACATTTAATGAGACCAGAGAGAGAGACCAGAGGGAGACAAGAGGGAGACCAGAGAGAGACCAGAGGGAGACAAGAGGGAGACCAGAGAGAGACCAGAGGGAGACAAGAGGGAGACCAGGGAGAGACCAGAGGGAGACAAGAGGGAGACCAGAGAGAGACCAGAGAGAGAGACCAGAGAGAGACCAGGGAGAGACCAGAGAGAGACCAGGGAGAGACCAGAGAGAGACCAGGGAGAGACCAGAGAGAGACCAGGGAGAGACCAGAGAGAGACAAGAGAGAGACCAGGGAGAGACAAGAGAGAGAGACCAGGGAGAGACCAGAGAGAGACCAGGGAGAGACAAGAGGGAGACCAGAGAGAGACCAGAGAGAGACCAGAGAGAGACAAGAGGGAGACCAGAGAGAGACCAGGGAGAGACCAGGGAGAGACCAGGGAGAGACCAGGGAGAGACCAGGGAGAGACCAGGGAGAGACCAGGGAGAGACCAGTGGGGGCCTAACCTGTATAATGGGTGAAAAGACGACCAGGACGAGCCCCATTTCTACCTCATTTCAAATCTCTTCAGTGTCATTACAGCACACAGGTGTAAAGAATGTGAAAGAGATTTGAACCCAATACTTTTGTTCCAAAGTGTTTTTAGGCAGAACAAACTGATTTACCAGAGCGTGTAGACACCAGGACCAGGAGGAGGTGTTAGTGCCTGGTATTAAAACCCAAATATACATTAATTTTGGCCATTTAACAGGATAATGATAAATGTCATTTCACGGTTTCAAACGTGAATTTATAACAGAAAATATTTGATGAAATAAGAATCAAGGATTCCATGTGAGAAAAGAGTGTTTGTGTTTCACCTCCTCTGGTAGTAGGCACAGTCTCTCTGGTCCCTCCCTCTGGTCTCTTGCTGGTCTCTCTTTGGTCTGTCTCTGGTCCATCCCTCTGGTCTCATGTTGGTCTCTCACTGGTCCTTCAGTGGTCTCTCTTTCGTCTCTTTGGTCTCTCTGGTCCCTCTCTCTGGTCTCTCTTTGGTCTCTCTCTGGTCTCTCTTTGGTCTCTCTTTGGTCTCTCTCTCTGGTCTCTCTCTGTTCTCTCTGGTCCCTCCCTGTGGTCTGTAACTGGTCTCTCTCTGGTTCCTCTCTGGTCTCTCTTTGGTCTCTCTCTGGTCTCTCTCTGGTCTCTCTCTGGTCTCTCTCTGGTCTCTCTCTGGTCTCTCTCTGGACCCTCTCTGGTCTCTCTCTGGACCCTCTCTGGTCTCTCTCTGGTCTCTCTCTGGTCTCTCTCTGGTCTCTCTCTGGTCTCTCTCTGGTTCCTTTCTGGTCTCTCTTTGGTCTCTCTCTGGTCTCTCTCTGGTCTCTCTCTGGTCTCTCTCTGGTCTCTCTCTGGTCTCTCTCTGGACCCTCTCTGGTCTCTCTCTGGTCTCTCTCTGGTCCCTCTCTGGACCCTCTCTGGTCTCTCTCTGGTCCCTCTCTGGACCCTCTCTGGTCTCTCTCTGGTCTCTCTCTGGTCCCTCTCTGGACCCTCTCTGGTCTCTCTCTGGTCCCTCTCTGGACCCTCTCTGGTCTCTCTCTGGTCTCTCTCTGGTCTCTCTCTCTGGTCTCTCTCTGGTCTCTCCCTTTCTCCGTCTTTTCTCCAGACTGTTTGGACTTTCTTTCCGTCCCGTCGGTCTGTGTGGAGGCACATATGGGCGTCATTAGCAAACGGCCGCACTCGCTCATGTCGTTAATCCAAACGGACACTTGTGGGTCAGGGCCCGTCACTCGCTCCTGTCTCCACAAGACGAGCCGTAGCCCCAGGCCCAGGGTTCTCAAGCAGAGGCACACGTACACACACAGGCACGATCTCCACCGTCCCCACATTTATAAATACTCTATATGTCTTTGTGCATTAAGAGCACGGTGTGTGTGTGCGGTGTGTGTGTGCGGTGTCTGTGTGCGGTGTGTGCGGTGTGTGTGTGCGGTGTGTGTGTGCGGTGTGTGCGGTGTGTGTGCGGTGTGTGTGTGCGGTGTGTGCGGTGTCTGTGTGCAGTGTGTGTGCGGTGTCTGTGTGCAGTGTGTGTGCGGTGTCTGTGTGCAGTGTGTGTGCGGTGTGTGTGTGCGGTGTGTGCGGTGTCTGTGTGCGGTGTGTGTGTGCGGTGTGTGTGTGCGGTGTCTGTGTGCAGTGTGTGTGCGGTGGCCCTGGGCGGTGTTGTGACTGAGGCGGCGTCTTCAGGGGCCACAGCCTCCTCCATTAATTACCATTCTACAGTTTAGCTTATGCATTATGATGGATAATGATCTGCTCCTGTCAGCCCTGTCGCTGTGGAAACCAGAGAGAGACCAGAAAGAGAGACCAGAGAGAGACACCAGAGAGAGAGACCAGAAAGAGACACCAGAGAGAGAGACCAGAGAGAGACCAGAGAGAGAGACCAGAGAGAGACCAGAGAGAGACACCAGAGAGAGAGACCAGAGAGACACCAGAGAGAGAGACCAGAGAGAGACCAGAGAGAGACCAGAGAGAGAGAGACAAGAGAGAAACCAGAGTGAGACCAGAAAGAGACCAGAGAGAGGTTCTTTATACGTCTGTTTTTGACCCTTTGTTTATGACACGCTCCCATCTTCCACGAGGTACAAACCTGACACTGATCTAAACAACACGCCAACCTTCCACACCGTCCTCCCAGATCGACACAGCTTTGTACCAGGTGAGAGACATGGACCTGCAGCGTGAGAAACCCTCCTCATGTCCCAGCCCTCTCCTCCTTTCCCTCCTCTCCCTCTCCCATGGCCCTCCACAGCCCCAGCCCAGCCGCCCCATCCCTGCACCCATGATCCTGGCTCCAGGAGGGTGTGGGGGGCTCCTCTGGCTCCTGGCTCCGGGGGGGCTCCTCTGGCTCCTGGTCCCCGTGGTTTGCTAAAGGACTTTGGGAGGTGCCAGGCAGGTGTCCGGAGCGTGACGTGTGTGTGTTGGTCAAATGTTTGCGGCGTGTGTAAGAGAGCAGATAACCCCCAGAGCAGAGTCCGGCAGCAGCCTCCAAATCCAATCCCTGCTCCACAACAGCAAAGGCTCATGGGTAAAGTAAGAGAGAGAGTTAAAGCTGGGGAACGTGTCTTTTGCAACCATCCATTAAAAACTCCATGTTTCTATTTCTCTGGCTCTTGAACAGTTTCTTTCTTTCACTGTTTTCACCTGTGTTTGTATCAGTCTCATCCTTAGATTTTCTCAACATTAGATCTTTTTCTTCTCTCCCTTTATGGTCTCTCTTTGGTCTCCACCTGGTCTCCCCCTGGTCTCCCATTGGTCTCTCTCTGGTCTCTCTCTGGTCTCTCTCCGGTCTCTCTCTGGTCTCTCTGGTCTCTCTCTGGTCTCTCTGGTCTCTCTCTGGTCTCTCTCTGGTCTCTCTCTCTGGTCTCTCTCTGGTCTCTCTGGTCTCTTTCTGGTCTCTCTGGTCTCTCTCTCTGGTCTCTCTCTGGTCTCTCTGGTCTCTCTCTGGTCTCTCTCTGGTCTCTCTCTGGTCTCTCTCTGGTCTCTCTCTGGTCTCTCTCTGGTCTCTCTGGTCTCTCTCTGGTCTCTCTGGTCTCTCTCTGGTCTCTCTCTGGTCTCTCTCTCTGGTCTCTCTCTGGTCTCTCTGGTCTCTTTCTGGTCTCTCTGGTCTCTCTCTCTGGTCTCTCTCTGGTCTCTCTGGTCTCTCTCTGGTCTCTCTCTGGTCTCTCTCTGGTCTCTCTCTGGTCTCTCTGGTCTCTCTCTGGTCTCTCTGGTCTCTCTCTGGTCTCTCTCTGGTCTCTCTCTCTGGTCTCTCTCTGGTCTCTCTGGTCTCTTTCTGGTCTCTCTGGTCTCTCTCTGGTCTCTCTCTGGTCTCTCTGGTCTCTTTCTGGTCTCTCTGGTCTCTCTCTCTGGTCTCTCTCTGGTCTCTCTGGTCTCTCTCTGGTCTCTCTCTGGTCTCTCTCTGGTCTCTCTCTGGTCTCTCTCTGGCATCTCTCTGGTCTCTCTCTGGTCTCTCTCCTCTCTCTGTTCTCTCACAATCAGAGAGTAAGACCAGAAAGAGACCAGAGAGATGCTTGATTCTCTGCTCTGCTGTTGGCGAATCAATAACTTTGTGAGTAAGTCCTCCGAGACCACGGCTGTTGTCGTTTAGAGCGATACACAGATAAAGTGAGTGAAAGTGAAGGACGAGCTGAAGGGCTGAGGCTCACGGAGGGATGTGGGCTCGCCTCGGGGCTTGGCAGCGGCTGAGCGTAATCCTGCGCCTGTGCAAACGATTATAGCGCCGGCCCGTATGCAAAACACTCCAATTCCATTAGCTAACATTCTATTAGCTAACACTGAGCGGCCGAGATAACTGCCGCGCGGAACATCCTCCCGAACGAGCGCCGACAGCGGCTCAGCCAACACACCGCTACACAGACTGTAAACCAGAAGTAAAGAGTCAGGTGAGTTCTCTCTGGTCCCTCTCTGGTCTCTCTCTGGTCTCTCTCTGGTCTCTCTCTCTGGTCCCTCTCTGGTCTCTCTCTGGTCTCTCTCTGGTCTCTCTCTGGTCCCTCTCTGGTCTCTCTCTGGTCTCTTTCTGGTCTCTCTCTGGTCTCTCTCTCTGGTCTCTCTCTGGTCTCTCTCTCTGGTCCCTCTCTGGTCTCTCTCTGGTCTCTCTCTGGTCTCTCTCTGGTCTCTCTCTCTGGTCTCTCTCTGGTCTCTCTCTGGTCTCTCTCTGGTCTCTTTCTGGTCTCTCTCTGGTCTCTCTCTGGTCTCTCTCTGGTCTCTCTCTCTGGTCTCTCTCTGGTCTCTCTCTGGTCTCTCTCTGGTCTCTCTCTGGTCTCTCTCTGGTCCCTCTCTGGTCACTCTCTGGTCTCTCTCTGGTCTCTCTCTGGTCTCTCTCTGGTCTCTCTCTCTGGTCTCTCTCTGGTCCCTCTCTGGTCTCTCTCTGGTCTCTCTCTGGTCCCTCTCTGGTGTCTCTCTGGTCTCTCTCTGGTCTTATCATTAAAGATGTGCTTAAATAATAAAATGTCTAAAACAGTTGATTTTATCTAAAGGAGATTTGAACCCATGTCATGTTTTGCACAGAGCCTCACGTCTCACTTTAATAAAACACTTAAATGAATGAAAGATGAACATGAATTAAAGAGAGGGTTTGTGTTTTTGAGCAGAGCGTAAAGAGCTGGACTCACGGGGCCTTGTCGCGCTGCAGCCTGGGGCTCGCCTACGGCTGCCCCCGTCTGGAGGAGCTCCTCTCTGGGTGCCCAGGGTGGGGGAGGGCCTGGGGTGAGGGTGAGGGAGGGTGAGGGAGCAGGAGGCTTCGAGGGCTGGCATGACCAAGACTCTCTCTGGTCTCTCTCTGGTCTCTTTGGTCTCTCTGGTCTCTCTGGTCTCTCTGGTCTCTCTCTGGTCTCTCTCTCTGGTCCCTCTCTGGTCCCTCTCTGGTCTCTCTCTGGTCTCTCTCTGGTCTCTCTCTGGTCTCTCTCTGGTCTCTTTGGTCTCTCTGGTCTCTCTGGTCTCTCTGGTCTCTCTCTGGTCTCTCTCTGGTCTCTCTGGTCTCTCTCTGGTCTCTCTGGTCTCTCTGGTCTCTCTGGTCTCTCTCTGGTCTCTCTCTGGTCTCTCTGGTCTCTCTCTGGTCTCTCTGGTCTCTCTCTGGTCTCTCTGGTCTCTCTCTGGTCTCTCTCTGGTCTCTCTCTGGTCTCTTTGGTCTCTCTCTGGTCTCTCTGGTCTCTCTCTGGTCTCTCTGGTCTCTCTGGTCTCTCTGGTCTCTCTCTGGTCTCTCTGGTCTCTCTCTGGTCTCTCTGGTCTCTCTCTGGTCTCTCTGGTCTCTCTGGTCTCTCTGGTCTCTCTGGTCTCTCTGGTCTCTCTCTGGTCTCTCTGGTCTCTCTCTGGTCTCTCTGGTCTCTCTCTGGTCTCTCTCTGGTCTCTCTGGTCTCTCTCTGGTCTCTCTCTGGTCTCTCTCTGGTCTCTCTCTGGTCTCTCTGGTCTCTCTCTGGTCTCTCTGGTCTCCCTGGTCTCTCTCTGGTCTCTTGATGGTCTCTCTGGTCTCTCTCTGGTCTCTTGATGGTCTCTCTGGTCTCTCTGGTCTCTCTCTGGTCTCTCTGGTCTCTCTGGTCTCTCTGGTCTCTCTCTGGTCTCTCTGGTCTCTCTCTGGTCTCTCTGGTCTCTCTCTGGTCTCTCTCTGGTCTCTCTCTGGTCTCTCTCTGGTCTCTTTGGTCTCTCTCTGGTCTCTGGTCTCTCTCTGGTCAGTTTCAGTTCAGAGGGACTCACACTTTAGTCCTGACGGTGCAGAATTGCAGAAGGTTCTGTGTTTCCGTCCCGTTGTCAGTCTGAGATACAAGAGCCCTCCGCGGGGCCCTGGGGATCCTCCAAGGCGTGTGCAGAGCAGATAGAGCGGCGTGTCCGGACCCCGAGGCACCAAACAGGAAGACTTCAGCGGTCGTGTTGAAAAGTGCGTCCGGTTCAGGACCAGGTTCAGGACCAGGTTCAGGACCAGGTTCAGGACCAGGTTTAGGACCAGGTTCAGGACCAGGTTTAGGACCAGGTTCAGGACCTGGTTCAGGACCAGGTTCAGGACCAGGTTCAGGACCCGGTTCAGGACCAGGTTCAGGACCCGGTTCAGGACCAGGTTCAGGACCAGGTTCAGGACCCGGTTCAGGACCAGGTTCAGGACCCGGTTCAGGACCAGGTTCAGGACCAGGTTCAGGACCCGGTTCAGGACCAGGTTCAGGACCCGGTTCAGGACCCGGTTCAGGACCAAGTTCAGGACCAGGTTCAGGACCCGGTTCAGGACCCGGTTCAGGACCCGGTTCAGGACCAGGTTCAGGACCAGGTTCAGGACCCG